GCGTGGTGTGTAAATTGCAGCTTGTAAAGCGCTAGAATTTTTAAAAGCGCAAAAAGTGTTGCCGACTCAATGTAGAAGTAGCAAAAGATGCAAGAATCGTAATTTGAGGGGTTTTTTTGGTATCTCTTTTGTTAAGCGTTCGTATTTTTCGCCGTTGCTTTATTTTTATTCTGCACTCAAAGAGTGAAGATCGTGTGCAAGGCGAATTCAGATAAGGTGGTGGCAGTTCTGCAACAACAACATTTTACATGTATTATGTTTTTGCATTTGGTTTACGTAGATATCAAAAACCATAAGTACGGCGAATTCATTTCATGAAAAATTTTTGTAAAATGTTTATATTATATTAAAAAATAAAGATAAAGATATTAAAATTTGTGAGGAAAATATATTCTGAATTGAATAATGTTTGTTTCAAAATTTAAGTGAGTGCCTGAAGTTAAGTAAAACTTAATTTTTTGTGAAAAATAAACATAAACAAGTACATATTCATGAAAATATTATATTACGAATGAATATTTGTTGCGAATGGATAATTCTACTCCGACGGAGTAATTTTCAATATTTGGCCATAATGTAGCAGCCGCCGGACGGGTAAATACCTCATATGGGTTTTGTTATATAAAGCGTTCCGGAACAGACTTTTTTTAGTTAATCTCTTTATCTACATAGTGTATATATAAAACAATATTGTTTAATTTGTTAACATTTAATAGATTTCAAAATTAAGCCATAACGTAGAAGTCAGCTGCCGCCAGCCGGGTAAATACTTCATATGCGTTTCTTAATATTAAGTGTTCCGGAAGAGATTTTTTTAGTTAATCACGTTATCTACACAATTTTAATATAAATATAAAACAATATTGTGTAATATGTTAACATTTAATGGAAAAAAATATTTTTCTTAAAAAACATATTTGTATACATACCAATTATGCCATTATTTAAATAAAATTATATTCGTTACGAGATAAAATATTAACGAAGTTTTTCTCCGTTTAACTGACATTTTTAAATATAAAAATGTAAACAATAACAAACTTTGACAGCTAGGTAAACCAGGCGAATTAAGAAAAAAATTATCAGCTGATTGAATAACACCACCTTATATGAATTCGTCTTGCACCACCTTATATGTATTCGCCTTGTAGTTTGACATTGTGCCTGCACTTGAAGGCGAATTGGCTGTCAGGGAAAAATGTCAAAAACAGCTGACAAATAAATCAAAGCGAATTTTTGTCAAACAAAAAATTTTTATAAATTTGAATCTGTTTGTAATTTAATTTGATGTTTTTAAAAATAAAACTAATTTCGTGTAGTATTATTATTGGTTTTAAACATAAACGAATTTAACAGCAAAACTGTGCCTTTAAATAACGTTTTTAGAATGCCCTGAAATCAAACAAACAAAGCAAAATGTTTCAGAAAAAATTCTACAAATGAACTGCCACCAATTATTGTCATTTATATAAAATTATATATATTAAATGGATATTTGACATTAACAAAATGAAAACAAAGTTTGACACTTACAAAATGTAAACAAAGTTTGACATTTATTCTACACCACGGCGAAAAATGAACATAGTAGCAAAAAACGATCAGCTGTTCTGATAACAATACCTTATAATTAATATATCTTGGTTCGCAATAAATGGTTGAAATTTGAAAATGTAAACAAACTAAACGAAACAAAAATTTTTGAAAGAAAAACAAGAAAGAAAGTATAGTCGGGCTTGGTCGACCATATGATACCCTACACCAGTTATGAATATTAACTGTGATTTATTTTTCATAATAAAGCATTTATCTTGAATATTACCTTGATTCCGATTTATTTAAGCAATTTATTGACAAAAAACGTATTTTCTAAAAGAGGCTTTATATGGGGGATAGGACCGACTATTATGGGTATTACTATTTGGTAGTGAGTTATGTTCCTTTAAGGTTTTTTCTAAAAGGGACCTTGTATGGGAGCTATGATCAATTTAGTAATGAGTTATGTGCGTTTAAGTGATTTTCGGGAGCGGACCTTGTATGGGAGCTATGACCAGTTATGGACCGATCGGAAAAATATTCACAGTAATATTTCTGTGCATATGAGCAATACTTGTAACAAATTTTATATGGATATATTAATTTAGTAATGTGTTACGTGAGTTTAAGTGATTTTCGGGAGGGGACCTTGTATGGGAGCTACGACCAATTATGGACCGATCGGAAAAAATTTCACAGTAATAATTCTGTGTATATGAGCAATACTTGTACCAAATTTTATATAGATATCTGTTCAGCTCCACCACAATTTCCCAAGATTTTATGACAATAAAACAAAATATTTGCAAATTTAATGAGACGTAGATCTCTCTGTATTTATTTATTATTATTATTTTACCTCGTAAAAGTAACATCGCCAAGAGCACGTAGTGCTTATGTTGACGATCAGAAAAGAAGTGTATTTAATTTACAAAACGTATATTGGTGGCAAACAATATTTAGGTACCGTTAACGGTTTACTCGTTAGAATCTTCCAACAAAGTTGTAAATAAAGCGGAGCTTAATAAGATTCTAACGTTGCAAAAAATAGTATTTGCATATGTTATCAAAACAAGTGTAAACCAAAATCGAACTTGAACATAATTTAGTAATGAGTTATGCGCGTTTAAGTGATTTTCGGGAAGGGACCTTGTATGGGAGCTATGTCCAATTATGACATAAGATTTTAATTTGTAAAATTTTGTGAAGGTATCAACATTCTGACGGAAGTTATTAACAAAAAACTCATATGAGAGGTATATGAAATTGTGGACCGATTCTGGCAATTTTCAGCAGGATCAAGATCTTGTGTAGAAACGAATGTGTGATGATTTTCATGGAATTATCTTGCATAGTTTTCGAGAAAATTACTTCAGGTGTAAAATATGCTTATTTTTTTCGAAGTTGTTTTAAATTTTGATTCATAACGTTTCCCGATGTTTTTTGCTCATTTTCAATACCAAACAAATTATATAAGAATATCTTAATTTAGTAATGAGTTATGCGCATTTAAGTGATTTTTGGGAGGGGACCTTGTATGGGAGCTATGTCCAATTATGACATAAGATTTTAATTTGTAAAATTTTGTGAAGATATCAACATTCTGACGGAAGTTATTAACAAAAAACTCATATGGGAGGTATAAGAAATTGTGGACCGAGTCTGGCAATTTTCTCAGAATTTGATAAGGACCCAGAATATATATACTTTGTTGGGTCTCAGATGAACATTTCTTGGTGTTATACACGGAATGACAAAGTTATATATACCCTCCATCACCACTGATGGTGTTGGAGGGTATAAAAAATGTAGTTACAACATCAATTCGAACTTAAACAGTTGACAACGACAGTTCAGTATTTCGAACAAGAACAAAAGAACAATATTAAATGGAGTATTCTTTTTCCATATATTTGGATTAGTTTTGGAACAGTCCTTTGAGTTCTCTTTACACGCGTGTGCGGAGTAGTCGCAATTTTTGCAGGGCAGTTTTTTCATTATTTTAATAGGACTACATAAGGAACAAGTCGGTTTTAGTGACATTTCTCAAAAAAAAAAAACAAAAAAAAAACCCAATATAGAGCGTTTTGAGACGATAAAAGATATAAATTTTTTTTTGTCGGCCACGCCTACTTTCTAGTGGGCGGGGCTCCAAAGTTTAATACATTTTTGTGTATATCTCGAAAACTGTTTTGTTTAAAATACATTTATACATCAAATTAAAGACATTGAAAATACCTTTCTAAAATATGGACCGACTATGGGTATTTCCCGGAAAATATATATTTTGACCCGACTTTTTCTTTTCATCTAAAAGAAATCGGAAAAAATGTCCATATTTGACCCTAAATCCCAAAAAAAAAAAAAAAAAAAAAAAAAAAAAAAAAAATAGCCAATGAATTAAGCTTTTATTTAAGGTATAAATCATTTCTGTATCTAATCAAATGAAAGAGATATTTGATTTCAAAAAACAAACATCAGAGTTGTCAGATTCCCCTGATGAAGAAAATAGTTCCTCGTGAGAGGCCAACATTTGTATTAAAATATTTTTTGTTTACACGGCTTTCTTTGCTTAATAAAGATTTCCTAAATAGCCGGCCTACGGCCGGGCGCAAAGATTTTCTCCTCTATGGTATGTCCAACACCGGCTTAGCTTAATAAAGATTTCCTGAATAGGATTTTCTCCTCTATGGTATGTCCAACACCGGCTTCGCTTAATAAAAATTTCCTGAATAGCCGGCCTACGGCCGGACGCAAGGACTTTTTCCTCTATGGTATGTCCAACACCGGGTTCGCTTAATAAAGATTTCCAAAATAGCCGGCCTACGGCCGGGCGCAAGGATTTTCTCCTCTATGGTATGTCTAACACCGGCTTCGCTTAATACAGATTAGTATACATACGTTTTTTTTTTTTCTAAATAGCAAAATCATAATTAAATTATTAATATCTCAGGAACTATAATACTTACAAAAACATATTATACCTTAATAAAAAGCTCAATATCTTGGTTTTTAAACAATCTAATTTATATACTTACCTATAAAGGCATTTTTTCCCGATTTTTTAGATAAACCTCAAAAATATCGGGTAAAAAATTATGTTTCCCAAAATTGACCTATAATGGGTCCTTTTTTGTATATCATGTTACATATCATTGGAAAGATCTTTGAAATACCTTTAATTTGACATATATATCGGTCCAAACAAATGTATATTTTTTGAGATATAGCCCTAAATATTTTCAACTTTAGAGGCCCGCCCACCCTAAAGTAGGCGTGGCCGACAAAAAAATTTTACGTCATTTCACTCACAAACGAACTCTCTATTAGTGGTGAAATTTTCGACGTGATTTGAAAAATGTCACTAAAACCGACTTAAGCCCTACATAAAAACTATCATTTTTACTACTGATAGGAAAAAAATGAAAAGTGAGAATTTTCATGGGGAATTTTTGCAAGCTTACCTCTTTTACTCCATACACATTATTATCAATAGCTTTTGCTGATATTTGACCTTCAGAAAAACCCAACTCTCGCATAAATTGTTTATAGTCACTTCCTAAGTGGGTTGCAATTTCATTAAGCATTTCTCTGTATGGTTCATCTTGAGATTTCATCATGGCATCAACGGTAATTGTTTTTGGATATTTACATTTTTCGTTTTTTTTTAATTTTGCATTTTCCCATTTATCCTCCGGCTTACAGATATTATTTTTATTTATATTATAGGTGGATCCTATCTGTAGTCCATTAATGTTTGAAAATTGTACTACTACCTGTTGATTAACATTGTTTACGTTCATTGTATTATTTTCTGGGACACTAACTTCGGAAAAGTTATCAGAGTTACTTCTATGATGTACTTGTGGAGTAAGAACAACGCGTGAACTTGCATAATCCACAGGAATTGCATCTTCTTCTAGACATCCATGAGTACTGTTGTCCTTGCCGTTCTTTGAAAAAGAACTAAAAAGTTTCTTTAAAAAAAACATTAATATCCAATCTATAACATTTAGATTACAAATAGTTAATAGCAGAGCCCTGTGCCGACAAATATTAACGGCGGCGGCGACTGACACTAAATATGTCGGCGGCGGCTTAAAATCGACTGTAAGCCGGCTAAGTTTTCAACTACGTTTAGTTTTTAATTTTTCAACGATTTTAAATAAAAACGGAATCCGAGAGATTAGAAAGTAGGATTTTGGAAGCAAATATATTGTTTATGACAACAAAACAGAGCAAACTCAAAAGTTGCATGAGAAATTATGCAGGGATGAATAAAAAATTCTTAAAAATTAAAACAAATCCTTTCTCCAAGTTTTACGAGGATCTGCCGATATTTAACCCTATCCTCCATATAAAACATCTTGCAGAAAATCAGTTTCTAAAAAATTTTGCATTAAGAAAATGATCAATAACGTAAAAACAAAGATATTTTATTTGTTTATTTACTAGCTATACCCAGTGTGCTGTGCTACCCTAAAAGCAATATAAATAAGAAACCTACTTAACAATTTTGATGATTCTAACTACAATGGTTTTCCAGATATACAATTTGTTACATATGGGAGATTCCACGCAAATTATTGCAATTTCGCCAATTATTCCGAACGTTAATTAAGATTTTAATTTAATCTATGAAAAATTTGAATAATCTAATAGTTTCCAGATATACAAAATTTTGTATTTAATTCATATGGGAAGTGCCAAGCCCCCCATTGAAAGTCCGCCCGTTATTCTCTAAATGTTCTTCAGTAAAATTTGAAGATTCTAGCTCTAATAGTTTCTCAGATATACGAATTTTTCTATTTAATTCATATGGGAGCTCCAAGCCCCCAGATGAAAGTTGCCCTTTTTTCTCCAAAATGTTCAGATGAATATTAAAGTTCTTCGTGCAAAATTTGAAGAATTTAGTTCTATTAGTTTCCCAGATAAACGAATTTTTGTATTTAATTCATATGGGAGGTACCGCTCCCCTCATTGGTAGTCTTCCAATTTATTACCCGAAATGTTTACATGGATGTTAAAGTTCTTCCAGAACAACATCATTTAAAGGGATCACAAAGAGATTGACAAATATTCCAAAAATTTCACTTTGAAAACATTGTTAGAGTGTATGAAAACTCGCAACTCTAAAGGCAGACTATTCCTATTTTAGCGGTAATTTCTTTATGATTAAAATAAGTAAGAAGTAAGAGTTATATTCGGCAAATCATATGTCGTAAAAAAGCAAATTTCGGAAGTGGTCATATACATATATATATGGACTTTGATCATTAGATTAATAAGAACGTCACCGTGATTTTCGGATTAGGGACTTAAATGTGGAATTGGGTCAATTTGGACAGAGTTCTCTATAATTTAAAGTATTTTTTTTAATTCTACCATAATTCTATCATAATGATAACTTTTGGAATGATGTATTAGCTATAAACTGATTTTCTGTAAGAGGGTTATATTGGCGGACCGATTCTGATAATTTTATTTTTCATAAATGTAGTTTTCGGTTCCTAAAAATGTTTTTTTCGTCGACATCGAAATTTTAAAGCCATTTATGTGCGTTTAAGTCATTTTCTGCAGAAGATTTCATATACATATTTACATTACATATTTTCGTTCCAACAAAAATTGTTTTATTATGGTATTATTAAGTACGTAGAAAACGTTAAAATCAATTATTGAAGGGGGCAGGGTCAATTATGGCCTATAGAGATTTCGATTGATATCGAGCCCTTTTTGCAAAATGAACGTAAGCGAGATAAATTTTCGTTTAATTAGGATACTGCGTGTTTAATTTTATGCTAATATATTCAATATTTTAGAAAATTCAAAAGTACCAGTTAAAGAACAAAAAATTACCAGAAATACTCCAGTTTAAATTTTCATTCACTCAAGTCCCTGATTGCTTAGTTTTATGTTTTTAGGTTCATTATAATAGATAATTCAAATAGTACCAGTTGAAGAACGAAAAAGTACCAAAAAGTCTTGTTTTATATGTTCTCACTTACTCCATGCCCTACAGGTTTAATTTCATGTCTATAGGTTCAATATTATAGAAAATTCAAAAAATACCTTTTGAAGAACGAAAAAGTACCAGAAAGTCCCCTTTTATATGTTATGACTTAATCCGGGCTGTACACTCCTAATTTCATGTTTCTAGGTTCAATATTATAAAAAACTCAAAAAGTACCAGTCGAAGTACGATAAAGTTCCCCTTTTATAGATTCTCATTTACTCCAGGCTCGAAGTGCTTAATTTCATGTTTCGAGGTTCAAATTTTGTAGCAAGCTCAAAAAGTACCAGTCAACGACCGAAAAAGTACCAAAAAGTGTCATTTTATAGATTCTCATTTACTCCGGGCTCTACGTGCATAATTTCATGTTTCTATGTTCAATTTAATAGAAAACTAAAAAATACCTTTTGAAGAACGAAAAAGTACCAAAAAGTCCCCTTTTATAGGACCTCACTTAATCCGGGCTCTACATGCTTAATTTCACGTTTCTAGGTTCATTATTATACAAAAACTTAAAATGTACCTTTTGAAGAACCAAAAAGTCCCCTTTTGCAGGTTCTCACTTAATCGGTGCTCTACATGCTTTCATGTTTCTAGTTTTAATATTATAGAAAATTCAAAAAGTTCCTTTTGAAGAACGAAAAAGTACCAAAAAGTCCACTTTTATAGATTCTCAAGTGCTTAATTACATGTTTCTAAGTTCTAAGTCAAAAAAGTACCAGTCGAAGTACGATAAAGTACCAATAAGTCCCATTTTATAGATTCTCATTTACTCCGGACTGTACTTGCTTAATTTCATGTTTCTAGTTAAATTTTATAGAAAACTCAAAAAGTACCTTTGTAGAACGAAAAAGTTCCGAAAAGTCCCTTAATTATTAATTTCATGTTTCGATTTCAATATTATAGAAAACTCAAAAAGTACCAGTTGGAGAATGAAAAAGTACCAAAAAATATCACTTGGTACCGGTGTTCCAAATAACACCCCATTAGCATATTTAGTGTTTCTTGAATAAAATCAAATTTCCCGTTTCCCTTTTGGTACTTTTTTCCTCGCCATTAACGAAATAAAAATTCTGTTCCAAAAAGTTGCAACATCGTATTGGGAGCCCGTTATTATGTATTCATATGTATAAGTTAATAAACCAAAAAACAAAGTTTTATAAAAAAGTACCAAAAATAGGTACAATTTTCACCCCTTAAACGTCCGAATATCCAAAAAGTACTAAATTCATATATTTATTTGTTCGTCAAGTTATGAAGGATTCAAAAATATTTTTTGAATGTTCTCTGGTTTAAAAGATACATGGGGTGCAAAAGAAGTAACAAATTACAGTTTTTACCCGTTTATTCTCCAAAGGGGCCGAATTTGAAAAAAATTACCAGACACCTGTCCGCTTTTTTAAATGAACGACGATAACCTTTAACTGTTTTTGTAACTTTTCTAGTTTAGGAGATTTGAGGTTACCGAATTTACGTTTTTGCCCTTTTTTAACCCCTAAAAAATTCGAATTTCTAAAAATCCCGTCTTATTGGATACCTTTGGTGGGAGACCAACCTCCTGCCCAAATTTCAGCTCTTAAACTTCAAGCCTTTAGGCTCTACGATGATGAATCAGTCAGTCAGTCAGTAACGTTAAAATTTTATATATGTATGTATATAGATTTCGTGCATTGAATTATGCTGTAAAAGCATTGTAATGTTCGACTTGAATTCAAGTTCCGTTTTCACTGGAGAATGCTATTGAATTAAAGTGTATTTCAATTCAACGCTTGAAATTTGAATTTTTACTGGAATTAAGCTTGTTTTAAACTTTAATTCCAGCAAGAATGTTTATTTGGTATAGTGTGACAACTATAAGGGATCTAAAGTCGACATAAAGCCCACAATGGTTAGTACCAATATTTTGCCCAAACAACATTTACATACCTAGCCAGGTTATATCCTCTAGGTCCGTGAAGACATTTTCTACAAAGCTTTAAATTTGTATAAAAGGCGGCTTAACAATTGTTTCTTGTAAATATTCGGCCACCATAGTGTTTGGAGACAACAAGAGCTTCACTGAAAGGCACACCAGACAGACTTCGCGCTCTATTATGGGTGTATGGTAGTGATTCTGCTGAGATCAATGGTATAATAATAAGTATGTATCCCAAGGATATCCCCTGAATACGGCAATCAGCTTCCTTCCATTGCCTCTAGGTGATAATATACCTTGTCACCACTAGCCGACCGACCACCACCCGCCTAGGTGACTAGGGAGGTATACAATTGCCTCTCTTGTGGGCATTCTTCCAGGAGACCATGATGCCTCCTCTTTCTTGAAAAGGAAGACGTTCTTTATAGACAAATAAATAATTAATTAACACCATTACTTACATTTTTTAATCTTCTAGATCTCACAAATATGCCAAATCTAGATTTCAATAAACACTTTTGGGTATTAAACGAAAACAAACCCCGCATGGAAAAACATTTTCATCATAGTTATTATTATTTTTTTTTCGGTTTAAGATTACTTCGAGCCCCTTCGCATAAGCGAAGGATGGAAGATTTACTTGGCTGATCCCAGGGATATAAAGCCACCAATAATTTCAAATATCAATTCTCACAGTTTCCTGTCTATCCGACCGAGGAATTCAACTAAAGTAATATAATCCTCTATACCTCTTTCGCCAAAAAATTGGGTGGTGCTATTGTATCGTTCAATAAAAGGAAAGTCCGCCCTCTGGGTGTTGTAGAGGGTACAGTTGAATAAGACATGTGAATCGTCATCTGTTTCATTGCAAATTGTAAAATTTGTCCCTCACTAACTGCCTTTTTCGCCGCTTCATCAACAAGTTCATTGCCGGGTATTCCCAGATGTAGATGTAGTGTATCTCAATGTTCGTCAGGGATTTTGCATCCATAATCGCCTTTCTAATCCTTTCACAGATTTGGGTTTTCTTGAAGCTATTAAAGGCCAAAATGCCGCTTTTGCTGTCCGTAAAAATCACCAATTTATCTATCCTCTGAGTATTCGCAAATTTCACAGCCTTCTCAATCA